TTTAACAACAACAACAACAAGAGCGACTGTCAAGCAGTTGAAAGCATGAAAAAAGGGAAGTTACACGAAATAAGAAAAAAAAAAAGGCAATCTTTTTTAGAGTAAATAAGGGATTGCACAACTAAAAAGGCGCGACCATCAAAAGGCTTTCATTGATGGACTTACTAGAACAAATATTAAAGTATCCGCAGAGCGACTTGCAATGGAAGGAGCGAGGGCGAGAGCGAGAGGGCGAACTTCAGAAGAGGTGTTTTCTTTTGTTCTGAACAATTAGATGAAAATTTGGAAAGAAAGAAGACAAAAAAATAATGGAAGAAATTGGAGGAGGAAGAAGAGGATCAATTGATTTCCTTTTGATGATATACCTGACGTCAGTCTGAGGACACGTGGCGGCGATGTATGCTCCGACGTCCTCCTTGGAGCGTCTTCTTTGCTCCAACGCCTGTAAAACAGAACCCCGGGGTTGTCCCTAGGGGTAGATCCTCCGATGCCTAAATTAGAATTGGTTTTAGGTTTTAAGGTTGTGGCTGTAGAATGAGTAGAGAAGAAAGAGCCCCTTACCTTGACCTAGGTCATCCTTTTATAGAGGTTGGATGACCTAGGTCTTCCTTATGCAGACGGAGGACTTCCCAGCCTGCTAGCTTAGTGGACTATGGTCCACCAGTTCGGCCACATTTAGACCTTAGGCCTAAAGTGAGACTCCTCAGACCCTTGGGCCTAAGGTGAGACTCCTCGAACCTTAGACCTAACTTGAAGATGAGTTTCAGCCTTGACCTTGAACACTAACGGTCCTCAGAGTACACGTGTCTTTATTCTCCCGAGCCACGTGTCGCCTAATAAATATATATTTTTTTCCCCCATTTTATGTACGCGATAATTTTTACGCGTACAGAAATTAAGCGATGACACATTTACAGATGAATATCTGCATTTGACGACTTTCCAGTACAGTTGAACAGACAGACAATCCAGCTGCTTGCTATTAAATGCGTCACTCTCATTTCTCTTCTCACTTTTTAACATTGTTATTTTCTATAGAGAGAGAGAGAGAGAGAGAGAGAGAGAGAGAGAATCAAGCTCTTGGGATTGCATCGATTTTTCACGCTCGACGTCAGCCTTCGAAAGTCCTCAGACCCTGGTAATTTTTTTCTTACCATGACATTATTTGTTCATGTCTTCGGTATCTAGTTATTATTCACTGACGTAAGTAGCGTTGGTATTTACCTTAAGAACATCGATAGCAATAATTTGAACGTATATTAGACCCCACGGTAGGCCGAGGAGCTTCTTTGTATACCTCAGTAGTCCGATGACGAATTTTTTGAACACCTCGGTAGGCCGATGAACCTCTTTGTAGACCCCGGTAGTCCGAGGACTAATTTTTTGAACACCTCGGTAAGCCGAGGAGCTTCTTTGTATACCTTGGTAGTCCGAGGACGAGCTTTTTGAACACCTCGGTAGTTCGAGGAAATTTTTGGAGACATCAGTAGTCTGCGGACTAATTTTTTTTACACCTCGATAGGCCGAGGAGCCTCTTTATAGACCTCGGTAGTCCGAGTACTAATTTTTTAACAACTCAGTAGGCCGAGGAGCTTCTTTGTATACCTCGATAGTCCGAGGACGAATTTTTTGAACACCTCGGTAGGCCGAGGAGCTTCTTTGTATATCTCGGTGCTCCGAGGACGAATTTTTTGAACACCTCGGTAGTCCGATGAGCTTCTTTTGAGACCTCAGTAGTCCGAAGACTAATTTTTGAACACCTCGGTAGGCCAAGGAGCTTCTTTGTAGAACTCGGTAGTCCGAGGACAAATATCTCAGTAGGGCGAGGAACTTCTTTGTAGATCTCGGTAGTCCGAAGTCTAATTTTTGTAACAACTCGGTAGGCCGAGGAGCCTCAACAGCGTCCTCAGCCTTCTTACTTGCGTCCTCCGCCTTCTTATTAGCTTCGTCAAGGCTCCAGTCTCTCCCCTTAATCCTCAGATCGAGCTTTTTGTCGAGGATCTACCCCTGGGGACATCCTCAGGGTTCTGTTTTGCAGGCGTCAGAGCAAAAGAAACGCACCAAGGAGGACGTCGGAGCATACATCGCCGCCACGTGTCCTTGGACCAAGGTATTTTCTTGTATCATCACCTTTGAAAAGCTTTTTCTATGAAGGGTGTATTATTAAATGGCTATTTAGTATTATTACATGTTAAATTACATTGTAACTTTTGGGTCAAAGGTCACTTTGATAACTCTTATGGAGGAAAGGTTACTTGGAACAATTCCCTCAATGTTGAATGCTACTAACATGCAGGAATTATACAGTTCGATCTTATCAATCTAAAGTCTTATGTTAATAAGTGCATTTTGATAGCATATCATAGGCATCCAACTCGTAGTTTTTATTCGCCTAGTTTTTCAGCCACATATACGAAACATAACTCTAGGTGCAGCCATGACTAAGAATACTCATCTTTGAGCACGTGAAAACACGAGTGATATCTCCCAACAGGAAGCAATGAGTGCAAAATAAAAACTCATCTACCAATACTTCTACACACATGATATCTCCCAACAGGCAGCAGCAAACAATCACAATAAAACATGCCACTCTCATTTTGAAGCCTTACTCATTTTGACCATGATAATCCATTTGAGATACTCGAAAAGGATTTTGATAATCTAATTTCTTACTTTCTTAATAGAGTTTCCAGCAGAAACCTCAAAACACTGAGGCTGCATTAATAATCATAGGACATTAACCACAATAACCAGTAAGAATTTCAGACCCATAATTGAACCCCAGATGAACGGGAAAATTCATGTTCAGTGAAGCATGTTGAACCATAATCAGCAGTAACAAGATGGACAAACATTGTTCAAAAAATGATAGCAATCACCAAAAGGAAAATAATTATGGACAGGAAGAAGAAACACAAGAGAGGCCAATTGAATGCAGCACAAATGCACACCAAACTTTCAACCAAAATCAAGAAGACATTCTTCGCCCAAAAAGGTTTATATAGCAACAGACAAATTTTCTTACCCATAAGCAACAGTATTCGATCATGTACTCGATAACAAAAGACTGGAAAAAAAATTTAAATCATCTCCCATAAATATCCACAATAAATTCAAAAACTGGAACATAATTTGGGATATAAAAGATTCAGGCATCTAGCCACAGGCATCATCAGCTAAAGACAAACTTTTCATGATCTAATTATTCACGCAAAAGCTTCAAATTATCTAAAAGCTAGATTCCTCTGTAATCAAACCAGAAACATCAGCAGCATAGAGAGCAGGTGCCAAATTAAGCCTCACAACCACCCAATAGATCTAATCAACTTAAAAGAAAAAGGCCAATACAAGAAAAAAAAAAACAATTTAATACCCTCAAGTCCAAAACTCAGGCACTCGAGTTCTCAATCTCACCCAACTCAGCTTCCTGTCCTTCCCCACCAGAATCAACATTCTGAGCCACATCACCAGCCACCCCAAGCTCATTCGCAAGTTTTTCCCAAGCCTTCAACAAATTTGGATGGAACTTCTTATTCATAATCTGAATCATACCCTTAGCTTCATCCATATGCCCGTTCTTAGCCAATCCCTCCACCAAATATTTCAAAGTGTTGAAATCTGGAATCTTCCCCATATGCACACTCTTCTTGAACACCTTATACGCCGTAACAAATCGCTGCTTCTTGCACAAATGGTAAACCAGAGTCCTAAAAGTAGCTGAATTCGGGTTAAGTCCTTTACCCTTCAAGATATCATCATTATACACCTTCATGGCTTCATCCATCATCCCATTGACACAGTAGCAGGTAATCAAATAGTTGTAAGTAATAGTGTCCGGTTTTATCCCATTATTCTCCATATCCTCAATTAGACCCTTCACAGCCTCCGGCTTCTCTTCTTGAATATGTGAGAGCCTCACATTGTAGCATCCCACATCAGGCAAGATACCCTTTGCATTAACCACCTCGGACCAAAACTTCTCAGCCTCACTAACAGATCCCTTCTTATAGAGAGCATCCAAAATTGTGGAGAAACAAACCACACAGTTCTTGATCCCCTTCTCCTCCATATCTCTCAGCTTCTCCATGGCCGTCTCGATCGAGCCCATCTCACAGTATGCCTTGATCAGCATGGCGTACGAAAAGTTATCCGGTTCAAACCCGAACTTGAGCGGATACTCTTCGAAAAAGACAGGAATCCGGTCAAACATCTTGGAGTTGACGCAGGCGTAGAGAAGGGAGTTGAAGGATAGGGAGGTCCGTGGGCTGCCAAGGTCGGCCATCTCGTTGTAGGTGTTGACGGCGTTCTCGAACATTCCGGCGACGCCGTACGAGCGGATGATGGACGCGACGAAGGGCTCCTGCGTGATCTGGGGGTTGGATTTGTGGGATTCGAGGAAGTTCTTGATGTCGGAGAATCGGTGGGACTTGACGAGGCGGCGGACGGCCAGCTCCTGGAAGAATCGGACGGCGGCGGAGGTGGAAGAGGCGGAGGGGTCGTTGGTGGCGGCGAAGGAGGAGTAGATTTTGAGGACCTCGTCGGGGTCGTGCGTGTTTCTGAGCAGCCTCTTGGTATGGGAGATAGTGAGTTGCGCCGCCGATGAAGTCGCGGCGCTGGAGAAGCGGCAGATGCCGCCACCACGGAAGGCGAGAAAGGGAGACATTTTAGTGGTGTTAGGGTTTTAGGGTGTGAAGCGAGTGGGAGTAGCGAGGGAGAGTTAAGGACGAGGCTGATATTATAAATCCTGGCCTTGTTAAATTTTTAAAATGCGTGGCTTAATGTCAATAAAAAAATCAAGTCTGACTCGAAAAGGCTAATACTAGGTTTGAGGCGTTTCCAGCCTTGCTATTCTTAATCCACACTTCCACTAATAAATTATCTTTAATAAAGTTATACTTAACAAACCTAACAATGTGTCAATCATATTTTTTCAATAAATCTCGCGAAAACCCTTTTTCCCAAATCAGGAAGCTTCATAGCTGCAGTTGAGCTTTCACCTCCTCTCTGTTGCACAATCCACGGTGCTATGGCGCCGGTCGACACCAGCCCTAGCTGCTCGTCCGATTAGGAGTTGTCGCCCTCTCCCCGATGTAGAGCTTCGCCGCACTCGCCGGTCGTCTATGGGTGGTGGAGCGAGTTCCAGTTGGCGCTAAATTGGGTCGGTCGGTTGGCCCCGACCTTCTCCGGTGAGTGGGTCGGGGTTGAGGTATCGTCCTTTCCTCCCCTTTTTCCGTTTCCCGGTGATGATGGTTATTGGGGGCTAGTTGTGTCTCGTGGGTATGGGATGCTGTCTCGGCCGATGGTTGGGCTGGGATTGTCGGTCGGTGGTTGGGAAGAAAGGAGTTGTCCTCTGGTGTTGGTCTAGGGGTGCCACTCGGAAGAGGAGTTTGGTCAGATTGGGGTTCCAATTAGCCGCTTGCTGGAGTTTTTGGTTCAGTTCTCAGGTTGGGTTTCATTACCTTGTGAGGACGTCTCTGGGTGTCGTGCCATGGATTGTTGCGGATTATCTGCCGGCGGGAGGAGGGTGTTGTTCTAGTATTGTTAGTATTTGTATTTGTGTTGTGTAGTGTTTTGGGTTGCCTTGTTGGCCTTTGTTTTCTTCTTTTAATAGAAGCTCGATTCTCCTGTACGGGACTGTATAGTTTGTCTGTTTGTGGGTGCATTAGTGTAGATTTGTAGACTACCATTGTGTATGTCTCCCTTAAATTCAGCTGGATGGTTGTTTGGCTATTCCTAGTTGTATCTAGGTTTGTAATTATGTGTTTTTATCAATCTAACCTATCGTTTCGATAAAAAAAAAAAAATCTACATACTTTCAAATTGCATGGTATACTTTAAAAACAATATAAATGACATTTTATAGTCTAAGTACATATTTTTATTACAAAAATATGATGGAGCGACTCACCTAGACTGTCTAATACAAAAGATTGTTTTTTTTGTTTCCTTTAAACGTTGATTAAGTTAAATTTGTTACAATAACAAAAGGACAATTAAACTTGGTAAATATCTCATACAAGACCAAATATATTATCATTTTTCATTGATTTTATATAAATTCGTGCTTTTAAGTAAATCACTTGAGTAGAACCAATCCGGTTCTTATGTAATTTTGAAGAACCAAAATCCTTTTTTCAAAGATATTTCTAGTAACGTTTGACTATTTAAATTTTGGATAAAATATGTCGTGCCTCCCTTTGTTTAATAAAATACTAGGAACACTCAGCTGGCGATGCACAGCTGGCCCATGGAAATATTATTAATGGAATAATAGATCAATTTTGTAAGTTGTTTCGATATAGTTGGGTAAAACTTTGCCTTTTGCATTAGGGAGATTTTTGTAATGATAACTGTGAAGATCCATCATATAGTCCAGTACATTATCAACAAAAAATACATAAAGTAAAGAAATAGAGTTCATACATAATTAAGCATAAATGATGTATATTTATGCATGGCATTTTCTTCTTCAACTTACCCAAATACAACTTACAAAATAAAAGCATAAGCTTATGATTAGTCATTTTAAATTCAACTATCCAAAATGTAGCAATCATTCATCATCTAGTGAGTTAATACATCTAATGAGTTCAAAAGGCAGCATCCACAATAACTACAAGATTTGGTATTTAAAGAGCAAAAGTCAAACACCTTCTAAATGAACCATTAGTCTTGGTCTTTCATTTTCTTAGCTGGACTGGAGTGGTGTTGTTAAGTTGGGTTTGTTGCATCTTTATTAACAATCTTTCCCCTGGTACTTTCTTCTGATTGCATGGTTTGGGAAAGACTGACTTGTTCTTCCTCCTGTGCTGCGAAAACTAATGGGCGTTTGGCTGAAGTTTATACAAGTTTGGTGGTTGTTTTTGCTGTTGGTTTAGGAGTTGACAAATCAATTGATTCAAGCATAAGCTTTGCAGTTGGTACAAAAAAGTGCTCATCCATGGAAGTTATTTTTTCCTGCATGGTAAAATGTAGATGCATGTTAAATTGTATGACAAAAGAATAGAGGTAAATATGTATAAATGTAGAAAGGAGTGAGAATGTAATTACCTTTCCTTTGACTCGTGTGCGAGATACAGTTATCTTCCCAATTTCCTTTTCCGTGTATATTTTAACAACACTATACATGTCAGCAGTGATGATGGAATAGGTTGCCTCATAATGTCGGACGAAACAAGTAATTGGGTTCTTGTAAAATCCGGCAATAATCTCAGGTAATAATTTTTGTTCTGTAATGTAATGTGTTGTGTTAGAAACGTTGAGAAAAGGTATGAAAATATGGGCAGAGAGTGTTTTATGAGTGGAATGGTGGAGAATACCTCAGCCTCTGCTATGCTCATTTCTTCCCATGTAAATGGCAATAGTTGCTCTGCTTCTATACCTGTAATCATGACTTCAACTACTCCTGTTTCATCTTTTATAGTGATAACAAAGCGTCACCTGGATAGTTGAGTTTTTTTTACTTGTTATAATGATAAAGAAAAAGAAAAAATGGAGAGTGTTTGTAAATGATTATCTAACCTGGCAACAACCATGCTATCCTCTCCGCACAATGTACAATTCATATCCCAGTTTATTGGTGCACCTATCTCTTTCTGGCAATTGCTACATGCAGTGAACCAAAGTGATTTTTGATTCATGGCAAGAGATGCAACACCACGAACCCATGCAGATTTGTTCTGAAATTTAATGACAAAGGCAAAAGGACGTCTTCAGCTTACTTACAGTTTTTTAATTTAAGTCGAAGTATGTAGTAGATTAAATACTCACCACTTTTAAAGTGGCCAGTGCCTCTTGGATTGAGATAATATCTTTTTCATTTGGAGGTGGTAGGACAACCAAAGGATCTTTAAATGCCTCTTTTGTCACAAATGAGTTATGGACATCTTTTTGGTCAACATACCTATATGTTACGTGTACGTTAATATTCAGCATATGACAAATTAAAAAATAAAAAAAAATAAAAATAGCATATTATTCATACCATTGCTTAAGTATTATAGCTTCCCTCATTGGTGGATTTATGAGAATAGCACTTGGTAATCTAGTAGTGAGAGAGAGGTCTGGCCAATTTTGTAAATCGTTTGAGTTAATATGTTGTGAGAGAGAATGGTTATCTGCTACTTTATAAGTTAATGATATTTCCATTAGCAACTGATGCGGCAAGTTGGGAACCCTCATTAGACTCAAACTCGTCCCACAAAGTTAAGATCATTGGAATTTTTCTGCAATTAACAATCAAGCATGTACGATAATATTGAAGCAGTTGATTATATTTAGCATTTAATATAAATTTACTCCCTCTTCATTTACAATCACCAAATCTCGAGTTTTGGATCCTTGAGTTTTCTTCACTGGAAAAACATGTAGAACTATACCAAGAACATCTACATTTGAATTCATAAAATGCAGTCATATGTTGCAGATGGTCAACCTTTTTGGTGGCAACAATAATATGGTTGTTATATGAAGTACATTGGTATACAAATGATTTTTAAAAAATTATTAGTAGTTTACTTTGTAGATTCTCTGTCTCTGCAAATCGGAAGAGGTTTTTGTATTTTTGGATTTCAATGTGACAAGAAAACTGAGGAGGTAGAGGCTCTTTAACTTCCTCGATTAAATGACGTTTTGTAAGTAAGCTAAAGGGGTAATCGCCAACCAAATATTTAGGGTCTGCTTCTTTCACCTCAACGTTTGACACATAGTATCTCACTATCTCTTATAAAGAACAACTTCTTTTTCTCTTCCAATGTAGGAATATCATTACCATAAACAAGTGCAGTAACCTTTGTTCCCTAAATATATATGAGCAAAACCATAATATATTACACGTAAAGTTTGTTGTAAGTGTAAGTATAAATTTTATTGCATGCAATGTGTTTATTTATAAGTAAATAAAAAGAACATGGTTAAAATAATTGAATTGCTTTTTGCTGGTTTATTTAGATGGCACACATACCTCTGAATCGGTAAGCAGATATCTACGAAACTTGGTGTTCTTTGGTGGGCGGCTAGTCAACACATTGGTTCTCTCCACTACTTGTATCAACGTTGTCCAGGCTCTGCTTTCTGTATTGATCTGTTGAATTTGTAGAAACTTTCTCAACATGATGGCCTGCAAACAATAAATTCACTTTAATAGGTTGCCAATTTTCTATGCAAAGAATAACTAACAAAATGAGAGAACAATCAGATGCACATAGTTATTATTACTTTCAATAACTTTTGATTCCTGCAATACTTCTTTGTACACTATGTTTCTTGTTCGGTTGATGCTAGAATCATCATAAAAGGATGGTTTTATTAATAACTTTACATTTGATGATGTTCGAGCACGTGAAAGGGCTACGTAAAGCTGTCCATGAGATAAGACAGGCTCTTTTAAGTAAATTCCCACAAAATCTAATGTTTGTCCTTGAGCTTTGTTAATAGTCATTGCAAATGACAACCGAACAGGAAATTTAGTTCTTGTGTAAGGAACTGGATATTGGTCATCTTTTGGTGGTCTAAGTGGTATTCTATGTATAAAAACATGTTTTCCTGCGAAATCACCAACTACTATCTCTGCATGTATTACATTTCTCGTGAGGTTTCTGCAAATTAACCTAGTCCATTAACATAATCCTTCAGTTGGGTCCAAATTTTGAAGCAAAATTATGGGTGCATTGATTTTTCAAAGCAGTCTATGAGGTGGAAGGCCATTTGGAGTGAGAGAATTTATTATATCCTCAAATTGACCTCTCTGAGAAGGATTAACAGCTTCATCAAAGCTTAGATATTCAAATAGCTCTCCAGGAAATCTATCTATTAGCAAATTGTTTATCTCATCAACAAAATTATTTTTGGTTAACAAAATTGCACTATTTGAGCTATACGATGCAGAACCATTAAGCTTAATATTGGGATAAACAATATTAATAAGGTCATCCAATTCAGATAATGGTTGATTGTTATAATTAAGTGTTAAATAAATTGGTATTTGCATGACATCATTATCATCAACTGGTTCATCACCATCACCAACTCAAAACAAAAATCTAGTGAACATAAGGTCTAAACGTGCACGCATGTTTTCTGTTAATTCAAGTTTCTCAAAAAGTGGCCACAATTTGGATTTCACTAAAGAAGCCTCAATTGTTTGAATTCTATTTTCGTTGCGTACTACTGGCAAAATTTGTCCAAAATCACCCCCGAAAACAACTACTTTACCACCGAATAATTCATCTGAATCTAACACATCTTTTAACAATTTGTTTAATGATTCAATGGCAGATTTTTTAGCCATAGTTGCTTCATCTCAAATTATTAATTTGCATTCTCTCAGCAAAATATCCAAACTACTTTGTTTACTAACCCTACAACCATTTTGTTCTGAAAGTCCAATAGGAATTTTAAATCTAGAATGTGTTGTTCTACCATCAGGTAAAAGTGATGCGCAATGCCTGACGTTGCGGTTGCCAGTGCCATAAAACCTTTTGATCTTACAACTGCTAACAATGCTCTATATAAAAAAGATTTTCTCGTTCCACCAGGTCCATAAATGAAAAAAGCTCCTGGTTTATTTTCAAAAATACGATTATGTATGATTTCAAAAGCTTGTCTTTGTTTTTCATTTAACATATTTATTGTATTAATATCCTCTTGAGAAATAGAAATAATTTTCTCAGAAGTAAGCTCTCTCGTATCTCGACAATTTTCAAAAAGTAAAAATTCTGGTGGCTCAAGACCAAAATCTTTAATGTTTTTGCCCATAGTTGCTAAAAAATCAGCTATTTGGCGCAAAACCATTCTACGTACTTGAATAGCAATACCTGCATTTGCTCTATAGTAATCTTCTGACATTTTTGATTCATACTTATGCCATAGATCTCTAGGATTACTTGGGCAACAAAATGCTGAGAGATTAGCAAAAAATCTACGCAGTTCATATAGCATTTTAAATTCAGATGCTTCTCTTAAACATAAATCTTGACTATCATTGTCTTCTAAATAACCTCTCGTTAAAGCTTCTCTAAAAGTGGTTGCCTTTTGACCTTTATATGTTTTTAAGTCATTAAAGGACTTAGGACAACGCACATGTAAAACAAAAGAATTCTTAAATAGTATCTCTTCCCTTTAGCTGGATGAGCTGTAACTATTCTACCAACAGTTTCTCGTTGTTTCCTTCTTCTCCAACATTTCTCTTTTTACATCCAAACAAAATATTCAGGGATTTCAACGTACGAGGTTTAATTTCTGTGCTTCCTCATCAGTTCTATTCATAAAGAAAAACTCTGTTAACATTGTTTTATGTTTTTTAGGATTTTTTACTATATTTCTTAGCTTATCCTTCTTATTAAAATTAACGAAATATTGATTTTCTAAATGAAGATGCAAATTAATTACAGCTGGTTTTATTTCACCTATAGAAAAACCAAAAATTCGCCAAGCTGCCTCAGGCGGCGAAACCCAATGTGCCATTCTAAATTGTTCTATTTCATCAATCACATTTTCTGAATTAGTTGCATTTACATGAAAAGCTATTCTATCATGTCCTTTACACACATATTTATATATATATATACTTCACAACACGTATTGTAGAACAAATCTCAACATTTATATGGCAGTTAAATTTGGTAATTAAATAAGGATTATAAGGAACAACCCATCTATGATCTAAATTGTGTCCCCTAACTTTCACCCTCTTACCATTATCATGTCTTTGGTGAATTGGAAATACGTTAGCTATCTGTTTTGTTGGCTCACAAATTTTCTTAGGATAAGAAAATCGACATTTTCCTTTATTTGTCATGCATGGACATGTTTTATCCAATTCTTCACAGGGACCATGGATCATGTGTTTTTTCTTAACAATGCTAAATAACTAAGGATTAACATTCTTGTCTGGTATTTCAGCGCACACTATTTTATCATATTCTTTGGGCTTATACATTTTAATTTTTGATTGCAAAATTAAAAGAAAATGAGTATGGGGCAAACCTCTTTTTTGAAATTCAATTACATACGTATATGCAACTAATTTACCAAAAATGCGTTTCTTGAGCAATTCATCTTTTAGCAAATCTAACTTCCCATTAAATACTCTTGCAACTAAATCCGGTCTGTTTTGCACTTCTTCATTGTCAGATAAAATTGTCTTATCTCTGGCCAATTTGAATTGCATGTAATAGTCAGAAATATGTCAGGCTTCCCAAATTTTTGGACCAAAGTGAGTGCATCTATATATCTATTTTTCATATATCTAGGTCCACCTAGAAGCTAGCTGGTAAATATACTTTTTGACCAATTTTGGAACCTTCAGTTTCTCCAGAAACTAATGCATCTTCTATACCTTGCATATATTTTTGTCTTATTTCTTGTTGCAATCTATGAAAATAGTCTCTGTGATTCAAGTTTAACATACATGTCAACAATGTAATGCTGAAGCAATCTACCAGACATGAACAAACTTGTCTCTAAATCTCTCATTTGCAATTTATAAGCATAATATTCTCTAACTAAAACAAATTCAACCTGGTTGGAAGATGCACGAAGAGCTATCACACCAAAATGAAGGAAAAAAATTAATTAGCATTTACCCAGAACATATAATGAGCATATAATGTGACGAAAACTGGAATTTAGATAAACAAAGCATATTCACTGACCTTCTTGCTCTCTATTTAGCAATTCGTCAGCACTATCAATGCAGTCTGCTGAGACTGATTGATTGGTACATAAAGAGTTAGTATAAAGACCATGATAACCTTTTTTAATTTTTTTAATATCCTGATGCCAACCGATTTCACCAAAAAAGAAATAAAATAGGATATTGTAAAAGATCATAACATCCATAATAGTACTGAACGGCATGACAATAGCCTCCATGAGTATAGACTCTAATATCTCTATTGCTTGTTTCTCCATTTTCCTCACCCTCAACCCACAATGCTGCAACTTGAGAAACATCAGGTTTATTAAACACTCTTTGATCAACTCCTGACATATTTCTCAAAACTATATTATAGTTATCTAAATTTTCCATCTCACTTAGTCTGCGAAAAAATTTTGCGTACGCATTATCTTTAAGCAAAGTGATTATTTTTTTAGATATAGATTCTGTTAACCTTGGGCATTCCTCTAGACGCTTAGCAATCTGATCATTTGTATCATGAAAATAAAGTTGTAGATGTTTTGAGCATTCTAAATCCTCTACAAAATGATACATGTGGCCTTGAATTTTAAATGTATAGATCCCTTTGTTACGTCTGCTCAATTTTTTTTTATCATACTTTACACCCATTGATGTAAATGCAAAATGATTATCAATTGTTCGTATGCATGTTCTAAATAATTTGGCCTCCTCTGTATTTGAGGCAAACAACTCTTTCAAAATATCAGGTGCAAGAGTATTAGGAAGAGAAACTATACCATTTTTGCAACATACATTTATAGATTCATGGTGAATTTGTTTTGCACGACAATATATGCATGGTGGCTGAGCAGGCAAAATAGTAGGCTCTAATGGTACTTTTTCCAGTAAACTACGACCATCTTTACAGGTTCGGGATGTGGTTTTAATTATTTTGTTAGAGGAAGATGCATCATTTGACTTATGTCTTTTGGCATGAGTAGGAGTTGTATCCACATGATTAGCTATATAGGAATCTCTATAAGTTGTACTACATATTTTCAATCTCCAACGATTAATAGCCTCTGCTTTATAGCTCTCTTTCAATACACTAATTTCCATTATTTGAAATAATTAGAGCAACAAAAACATGCAATATAGTATTGCAAAATGAAACCAGGGAAAGTGCAGACAAATTAATTTGGTGAACACTAAAATAATCACCTAAAATAATGATGAAAGCGAAAGAAAGTTTTTATAGATACTGAGGCAAAGGCTCAAAAGAGATGGCCCTGCCTATGTCACAGAGATCTTTGAATAACTCATTTTATGGGGATCTAGTGTTTTAGCGGCCATGGGCCCCGACTGGATGAAAGGGAGGCCATGGGCCCCGACTGGATGAAAGGGAAATGATGCAAACAAAATAATTTGGTGAACACTAAAATAATCACCTGAAATAATGATGAAAGCGTAATTGATAGAAAGGAAAACTGGAAAGACCTGAAAAAATTAGAGAAAATACATAACACAATTATGTCTGACACATATAAGGAATATTATACATGTTACAAAAGATAGTGTAACTGAATGAAAAAAGGGAAATGACAACATTAATGAATATATACATATATATATATATATAAATGCGTTCAAATGTTCATGCAGGTAAGATATATGAAAATAAACAGCAAGAAGAAAAATGATTCCACACAAAGGTAACCCGCACACCTAACTTATTGACGAAGACTAAAAACAATAAGACGAAACATCAACAGAGCAGAACTATTCTAGTATATGAAATGGAAAAATAGATACCAATTTGTCTAACTTTTAGCAACGAAAGAAGATTACCTGAGGTAGCACCGAAAGCCTTAATTAGAACTGAACGTACGCTGCACATAGCAAGAAAACCATCAATTTTTTAACAAAGAAGAAAAATTGTGATCACAAGTTGAACATACTAAGAAAAACAAAAGACCAAACATATGAAGTAAAAAATAAATAAAAGCAGAAAGACAAAAACATAGAAAACTACAACATACACAGTTTAAGTGATAAAGAACAACAAGTCCTAACATAACATATGCTTGTTGATATACACATACACATACAGACATCATATACAAACATAAAAACCATGTATTTATCTCACAAGCAATCAAAACAAAAAATGAAAACAAGCTAAATAATTACGCTACTAAGTTTAAAAAATGAATTATAACACATACAAATAGCAAATTTTTTTCTTAGAAAAATAGGAATAGGAAGAAAACAACCAAATAAGAAAGTTTCAACACATTTTTTCGATATGAAGAAATTTTACTACTATTCTAACCTTACTGAACTGATTGAAGAAAAAAAGTAACAAAAAAGAAGAAGAAGAAATAGATAAACTTACAGCTTCAGTAACCAGTAAAGGATGATGAGTAAAGAAACCGTAGTAGTGATTGTATTTATTCTCACAAATGTATATTATAATAATATAAAAAATAAGACACTAAACATTTTGGTATTAAAAAGATAAATAAAATATTACTACATGATGAATGTTGATTATAAACATCAAATCAAGATTCATCTTGATTAAAATCGGTGGCTAAGAATGAACAGAAAAGGAAGATTTTTGTGTGAAAAGGCTGCAAGTCTGCAAGGCTATTAAGATAGATTTCTAGCATTCTCGGTTAATATGAATAAAATAACAATCTAAGCTTACTTACAATGGGCCAATTCCTTGGCCCAATTGTATTTCGAAAATATTAGTCCACAAAAATACATAGCCCATGAGAATATCAAACCCAAATGAGGAAACATATAAGCAGATTTAAAAAATGTGTATCTAAACTAATTGAATTTTTTATTTAACATAAACTCCCTGTAGTTGCAAACTGGAAGTAGCACTCCACTGTGCAATTGAAATTGTTGAAGCATGTTCATCCTTAATGCATGGACCATTCATAGACTCAGAAACCGTGAAGGACCTCGAATTCCATAACAAAAATTTAGAATTTAATATAAATCGGAAAAAAATTAGGGCAAGCACATATAAAGTTTTACCTTTGAATAAGAACATAAGAACCTCAACCAATCCCCCATCCATTCATCAAGGATCACGAAGAAGCGGGATAAGGACCTTCATTGCATCGATCGACCGGTACTTTCGAAACAACAAATAATATAATTTAAATAAATAAAAAATTAAAGCAAATAGCTTTATATTAAAGGAAAAAATGAAAAGAATTACAAAAACCAACAGAAATCACAAAAAAACAATGACGAAAATTTATCCATTTTCAGGGAAATTGAACGCATGCGACTTGAGAAAAAAAAAATATTGTTCGCGTGAAGAGGGGCAAAATGAGCAGGAAAGCACTTTTCTCAATATGTTGTCACACGTTTTAGATGCGGAAGCGAAAGTGTCGCAATAATTCCTCCTTATGGGCTTGAAATAAATAAATTAAAAGTAGAAGCCCAAAAATTAGAAGCCCACCTTACATACATGCAATAGAGAATTAATGGTTCGTCCCAAATACCTATGCAATAGAGAATTAATGGTCTGGCCTAAATACCTAATCTAAGTGCTAGCCACGTGTCACACACAGAAGCATACAAACTCCCGCTTATATAAATGTTGAGGGACTCCCGCTTATATATATGTAAAGGGATGAGCATTTTTTCATTGTGTTTTAAAAAATGCGTCATACCCCTTTATGTATTACTTTCATATGTGTGAATTCTTTCTAACCGTTTAAGTTAACATGAGTGTATGTAACGCGCCAGATTATAGGGTGTTTTGACATATTCTCTTGCATCTAAAATGACACTTATACCCTTTAGTGAATCATTTAATAGTATTTGCTCTCCATGCTTGTTTCCTTCCTCATCCTCTCATTGTGTACGCATTGCCAAANCACCTTTTTTTTTCAACTTTCATTTTATTTTTTATTTATATTTTATGAATTGAAAATATATTTCTTTAACTGTAAAATTGTAGGTTGAGAATGTCCCAAAAAACAAAGATAGAGAAGAATAAGCTTGGATTTAAGATACAAGCACCCAAAGTGTTACTGCAATAAGTTTGCTCAATCAAGGTTGTTGATCCTACAACAAGAATTGTTGGAAAGCTATTTGGCAACTGTCCGTACAACAAATGTGGTTTTTATTTGCTTGGCTTAAACAAACCACAGTGAATTGAATGAAGTCACGTGTTCATGAAAATGAAGTTTGTGATGAAGATGATGATGAAGTTGAATCTATTGGAGTAAATATAGCAAATGAAAATGTTGAAGGCGATGCATTCAAGAATGGAGAAAATTTAAAAAAAAAAAAAGATTTAAGAATAGAGTTTTATCTATATATATATATATATATATATTAACCACACATCGTCGCTTTACTTTTGATTATTAAAACAAACTTGTTCATCTGCTCATCCCGACGTCAGTTAATTGATCGGTTTCTTCTTTTTCTCCTCACAGTTTATTATCCACTGCTCGGATATTACGGATTTCATCCATCAGTGAAGCCAAAGACTACAGAGGTCGGCATCCCAACTCAGACCTTCAGGCCAAAAAGGGTAAAAGCAAAAACAAAGACCAAAGAAGCACGAGATGGTGCGTATGCAATTGATCTAGCCAAGGAGGAAAAGGAATGACGCCGACCAGGATTCTGCTAGTGCCGGTGCCAGTGAGAGCTCTGGTGCAGCCCATCGTGGAGCGGCCTCGAGCCAGACCATTGGGCTCACTGATACCTTGGCCCCCATCCAAGGATCGAGTGTTGGGAAGAAAGGAGGGGTTCTTATCCCGAGTTTGTGACCTCTTTCTCTCCAGACCGAGGATGGGGAGACAAAAGAAGTCGCTCGCTCTGACCTGCAGGTGATCCTGTCGGACTCGGGGTGGCCGAGGCCGAGCAGAAAGCTGTTGGGGAGGCCGAGCCCCATAAAAGAAAAAAGCTGAAAAAAAAGGTCGGTGGGCGAGCCCTCCACGATGGAGGAAGAGAGGGCAAAGAAGAAATTCGCCGCCGACCAATTCAAAAAAGAAAAAGATGCCCCCATCCACCAGACGGGGGGTAAGGCGTATCGTCGCATAGACGAGGAAAGGGAGGCCCACCTCAACCAGCCAAAGGGGACGGTGGAGTACTAGTACGTCAAGTTGCAGTCGGTGGAGGTGCCCAAGCTCCTCAACAAGTTCCACCTGTTGGACACCACCAACCGTCACATGTGATCGATGTTGCTCGGGTCCCCTTGATGTCATGGGACCCGGTTACCTAGGTTGGGTTGTCTGCAATGCAGAGCGTCCACAAGTTTGGTTACGCCAAGGCCTGTTGGGCTGAGCACGGGACTCAGCGATTACCGAACCATTCCGAGAACCGAACTAAATTCACCCTTAACCGAAAAATATTCGTTGACCGTTTCACTTTATTCGAACTGAACCGTACTGAAAAATACTTGTTATGGTTCTGGAGATTCATAAGATATTCAAACCGAGAACCGAACCAAACCTGACCGAAAAAAACCATACCGAACCGAGAAATGAACAAGAACCTATTTTAATTCATAAAATTCATATAAATATAATATTTCATCCTATGTTTTCTTTTCATCTTTGTACAAATTTATTGTTAAAGTTGAATTGCAAATAAAATCCATATACATTAGGTCTATGTTCATAAACTATCATATATTTTAAAATTGAATTGCAAAAATCCTCCACTATCGAATGTTGATATAATTACATGATTGAAAAAATAATTTATTTTATTTTCTTACTGCATGTGAGCTATTAGTTTGAAAAGAAATTAAATTAATATGCTTTTCCTATCGCATATTTTGTTAACCAATGTATCAAATTTTATTTAAAAAATCAATAATTATAAACCAAATTCAAATTAGAATGTTTAGAAACTGGCCTTTATGAAGAAAATCTTTTACAAAATTTGGAGAGAAATATTTATATAAAGATCATGTATTTTTAAATAAAAATAAATTGATAGATATTTTTACCATAATATCTATCAGTTTAATAATAATAATAATAATACTACGACACGTCGACACCCACTGCTCGAAGACGGCAAAGGTTCAATGCTTTTTGGTATTACACATGTATCGATAAAAATTCTCGACT